TAGTTTTTTCTTTTTCGTCTTGTACTGTACCTTAACATCGCATTATATATGTAAATTTATGAGAAAAATGCTGTGGATAGATGTCCGCTAACTTTCATACGCATTATTGAAATTTTCAGGTATCAAATACTGTAAAGGTAAATCCACAATGGACACATCAGACACATCAACACATCACACATCACCACACATCACATAATTTCTTAAAGGTACACCTCAAAAAATCATGTGATGTGTAGAGATGTGTGATATGTTGATGTGTCTAATTATGTCTGATGTCTCTATTGTGAATCCACCTTAAGTTAAACAATAATGCTGGATTTAATCTCGTGAGGTGAGGCGCCTCAGCTGAGGCAGCTTGCATCAGAGGTTTTCAGCCAATTACAATGCTCAAAACCTCTGACGTAAGCTGCCTCATTGAGAACGCCTCACCGTCACGCAATCGGCCTCACGAGACTAAATCCACCATAAGTTAACAACTCATAACTTAATTTTCTACAATTTACTTCAATTTATTTGTTTATTCTTATTCTTAAAATTGTCAACTATGAGTTGGTCAGTACAACTGCATCTTCAAATTCACAACTCCTATGTCTGCCAAGTGCTCCATGTACCTTATTTCAGTATACACTTATTACACTTTCAGTTAAATTAAAAATATTTCTATGTAACAAACAACATTTACTGTATTCCTTTTCATTATTTTTTACACAACCTTTTTACTTTAGTATTTGAGCTGAAAACAGGACTTTACACAATACTTACACACGTAAAGAACGAGTTAATCCTTTTATGTATCAAATACGTTTGATACACCTGACTCGCTGCTTTCATACACTGACTCGCTGCTTGTTATGTATTGGTAAGGTTCAGGAATGGATGAATTATGTTAAACTGTATCAATACGTGCATGAAAAAGCATCAATTATGCATAAACCATGCTGAATAATATTTTGGCATAAGAAATACACAAGGAATGCATACTGTAGTGTGCATAGGAGTTATGTATGATATCATGCAGAAGAAATGCACAATAGCTCGAAGGTCGATGCATACCTAATGCACAGACGAGGGGGAAATCACTTGCGAAATAGTTCGTACACCTTCCCCCGAAATAGTCCGAAATAAAGGCGAAATAGAGGCGAAATAGAGGCGAAATAGAGCGAAATAAAGACGAAATAGTCGCGAAATAGTCGGTGAAATAGTCGCGAAATACCCCTGAAATACTCCGAAATAGCGCGAAATAGCCTGAAATAATCCGAAATAGGCGGGAAATAGCCGAAATGGCAGGAGAAATAACCGAAATGGTGGGAGAAATACCACGAAATAGTCCGTACGCTATGAACCGTAGTGATTTCCCCCTCGTGCACAGATCATCTCTTATGTATAATTAATAGCAATCCCCCCGTAATGTGCATAAAAGTTATGTATGATTTCATGCAGAAGGAATGCACAACAGCTTGGAGGTCAATGCATACTAATGCACACATCATCTCTTCTTATGCATTATAAATACCAGTCTAAATACGCATAAGAGTACAGTAAACTGCATAAGAGGAGCTCTTTTTGTTGTGCATTGTTTATGCGCATAATTGTGCATAGTTATGGCTGCGTAAAATCCTGCAAGTGATATGCACAATTGTGTGCGTAATTATGCACAAAAAACTGCATAAGGGTTTAGTGTGTAAGGTGCCCCTCCCCCTCCCTCGCACTTACAAGTATGCCTTCCCCGTCGTCCAGCACGTCAGCACGGTGTCCCGATGGCAGCAGAAAATTTGGCAGCACTCGGAGGGCCTCGAGGTTGGGCGCCAGGTGGAAGTACCCTTTGTTGCGCATGACGACAACACGATTGCGGGCAGGACATATCAGGTCACCTTTGGCTCTTGTAACCCCTTCTTGACAGAGACAACAATTTTCCCACAGAAAATCTAGCTCCTCAAATATTTCCGATGGAACAGCCCGCCGCATCGTGTGTATTTTCCTTTGTTGCTATGGGCGTGTCAACAAGGGCTGCGCGCCCCGCGAGGCCCGCGAGCGCGAGCCCCGCTGCTACCACCGCAGCAACAGAACTGCGCGCGCGGCGCGGGTGCGGGGCGCCTGCGCGCGACCGTGCGCCTGGTAGGTAGGCAACCCGCGCTGGCATCTTCAAACCAGGCTCACAGAGGTCACATAACTCATATCTGATGTCGGAATCGAGTCCAGCGACATCAAATTAGCTGAAAACGACACCCTACACGCCACAAAAGCGCAACTTGAGTTTACTGTACAATAAGTGTTCAAACTTGAACACATGTTGAACAGGGGCCTTTGTACGCTATTGGTGGACTTTCTGGACCGAGTACGTGGTCTTGCGGTTCATTCCATGCCCGAGAGCCCTTCTGTACGCTTGTTTGGTGCAAAATAGATGATGAAATGCGTTTTGTTCAAGGTGTTCAAAAACTGTTCAATATCTGGCCTCCACACGAAGTGATCGAAATGGGATGTGGGCCAAAAGTTTCTAAATGGTCTCAAGAACCTATGTTTAAATTTTCATGCTTTTACCACAATTTGCCCGATTGTTACGAGAATTTTTGTGTACCTCCTGCACTACAAGTACTTGAGCACGGGGCCGTTAGCCGGGCCCTACGCCCCGAGGGACCCGACGACGAATGCGTCCAGGGCGACTATCCAGCCGGCTTTCTCCAGGTGCTCAGCGATGGGGCCGTACTTCGAGACCTTGGCGGCCCGCGCCTGGTAGAGGGCGGCCCACCCGTTCTCGAACGGACAAGTCACGTCCAGGATGACGACCTGCTTTCCATGGTGATTGATGAGCAGGGCGTCCGGGCGGAGGCGGCGCAGGGAGTCGGGGACAGCAACTGCAAGGTCGGGTGGCATTAGTTCAGAAAAGGGCACTGGCTTGTCTACCTTTACTGTGACTCCTTGCAGGCGTCCCCGGCTGGCCAGGGACTGAAGTAGGCTCTCCTGGATCGCGTTGTGGCGGCGCGTGATGCCCTCCGCGAGGGCCGGCGGGCAGTGACAGAGGACGTGGGCCGTCGTATCCGCGTGTTGCCCGCAGCGCCAGCAGAGGCTTGAGGCAGGGGCAGCAGGGCCTCGGAGGCAGCCGCAGCGGACGGTGCTGCTCCGACTCACTGCCTGCCCCGGCTGGGCGCAACAGCTCGACTCGAATAGACTGCCGGTTACGGCCATAGTTCCGCAAAACGCCGCCAGAGCGCAGCAGCACACGGCACCTAGTCGCCGACCTCCACCACGACGGCGTCCTCCTAGACGTGTGTGTGTGTGTGTGTGCGCGCGCGCGCGTGCGTGTGTGCGAGTGCGCGTGTGTGTGTGTGTGTGTGTGTGTGTGTGTGCGTGCGTGTGTGCGAGTGTGTGTGTGTGCATGTGTCAGCAAGACGGTGGGGGCGGGCAGTACTCCTTGAGGGGCCAAGGGCCGGCATGGTGGGCAACGCGTGCTTCTCCAGGTCCATCCTCCACAGCCGTGCAGCGCAGCAGCGACTCAAGGACCTCCTCGACCACCACCAGGTCCACGACGAGGCATCCTGCCCCCACCCCGCCACGATAGTGTCAGAGGACGACGGCGAGCATCCCTGTCGCCGCCAGGTCAACGGCCAGCTCCTCCATCCTCCGCAGCCCTGCAGCGCAGCAACGACTCCAAGACCTCCAGGGCCTCCAGCCTCGGCATCCCCGCCCCGCCACCTCTAGGGTGGCGGCGAGCACGGCCAGCATTTTTAACCAGCGCCGCAGGTGCTGACGGTGCAGCGCCAGGCTGACAGCCTGAATAAGCATCAATGATTATTTTGTATGGCTCAAATAGGCTTATCTTTTACCCCGTGAAAGCATTGTCATTTGTTTGCTTGATAATTCTCAGCTCATAACTAAAGTAAAGTCATCTCTTTTTTGTAGCTGAGTAGTGAGTCTTATTAATTCAAACAAGCTTTGTTTTAACATCACAAAGTGTGTTGGATAAAATAAAATGTGTTGTATTTTAAATGAGAACTTTAACTTTTCCCGCCCAAAGAATCGTCATTTGTTCACCTTGTGCATCTTGAGTCAGAACTAAAGTAATTCCACTCGTATTTTTTTGAAACTAGGTAGAGAATTTTGTTATTTCTAATGAGTTTTGTTTTAACATTCTACTGATATCCCAAAGTGTGTTGGATAAAATAACAATTTCTTTAGGAGATCTTATCTCCAACTTTCCCCGTCAAAGAATCATTCGACAGCTGAAGTTTTTACCCAAGTTAATGTTAACTTTCCCGTGATGTGACAAGGGCTTCGTTGAAAGAAAACAATAAAGTGATATGCACATGATTTTAATTTTGATTTTTTTTTCTTTTGAAAAAATAAACCATGATTTTAAAAGACTACTTCTTATGCTGGCGCCTCCTCGCCTCAGCCACTTGTTTGATCGTCTGAAATAATAATAACACAATTAGGCTATAAATTTACATTCTGTAAAACCCACAACCTAAACATGTTTGGAAACTTACAAGGTTTGGAGGGCAGTGTGGGTGGGCCTTGTGGATCAGTTGGGCCTGTTGGGCCTGCGCCTCTCCCTGCACGGGGCGAGGCTGGGGTCGGGCCTGGGCCTCCGCCACTTCTTGCACGGGGCGAGGTTGGGTAGCGGTAGACTTTGAGGGGGACGTACGTCGCGGTCGGGCAGGCCGCAGCCCGCGGGTCAAAGTCCTTCCCTTTGAGCACCATGCAGCGCCGCGCCATGTCTGGTCCAACGGCCGCCGTCTCCTTCACCCCCAACCGTTTCACCGCAGGCTGCAACGGAGAGGAAGAAAATTTTGAGCACCCAGGGCCGCGCCATGTCTGGTCCAACGGCCGCCGTCTCCTTCACCCCCAACCGTTTCACCGCAGGCTGCAACGAAGAGGAAGAAAATTAGACGCTGCGTCAAATTTAAACGGTGACGAAACCCATAAAATGTTAAACTTACGATTCGTTTTGGCTGGTGCGCAGTGCGCCGCCGCCCCATGGCAGGGCCGGCCTCGGCGGCCTAGGCGCCCCCGGCGCCCCCGGCGACCTCGGCGGTCTCGGCCTCATGCTGTGGTTGATGCACAACCCCCATGGCAGGGCCGGCCTCGGCAGGCTCGGCGCCCCCGGCGACGTCCTCTCGAGGCGCCTCACCCTTAACGCCTAAGCGTTTGAAGACAGACTGCAACATGAAAGACATAA